TAAAAAAAAAAAAAAAAAAAAAAGACAAGGAAGAATGCAAGAAACGGTACCTTCTTGTTGAGGTAGAGGTTGGGCATCCGATCCAAATCCAAAGAAGCAGCTGAAAAGCAGCAACAACAACCAACAGACAAGAACACGAACACGAACACGATTCAAACCCATGTTCCTAAAAGGACATCAACACAAAAAAGCAACAGAAAACAGAGCAACCAAAAACGGAGATACGAGTGAGAGATGTAAGGAAGAAGACTTCTCCGCTGACCATCAAATAGATATCTAAAACGACAATTCAATGCACATAGTTTTAGCTTCGTCTATATTAAATTATTTTAGTTGTACAATATTTATGTTCAAATTTTAGCTTTTATAACCTTTTTTTTTTAATTTCTAAAAAATAATAATTTACAAGTCAACTTAAAATACTTAAATCAATTAAATTATATATACCATTCCAATATCTCTATCATCAGTGGTTGAAGTAAAAAATTTATTAATTATTAATATGCGTAATGAAATTTCTTATTTTATTTTCACAACGTTTAAATTATAGGGATATAAACCTTGATAATTACCAATTATTGGTGTCGGCCGGCTGAGAAAAATCAACTTTCAACTTTAAAAAAAAAAAAAAATGGTTTCGTGTAGAAAATGAACTCTGCACGGCCAAATTAACATTATTTTCCAAAGACTTTTATTTTCTTTACCTTATTTATTTCTACAATTTTTTTTTTTTTTTTGAATTCGATGAGGATCTAGATGACAGAGATTTAGGCAGCAAGAGATTGACGAGCTTGTTGGAAGTGCTGAGTATAACACATCGAAACCAAAGACAAATTAAAGTAGCTTGTTGACCAAGCTGATAGACGAAAAACTGAAGGATGGAGCGTTCAAAGTCAATCGTGTACTTATCATGTGACTTGTTGATCCTTAGCAACAAAATATATATTAAAAGCATGCAAAATCTAATAATATTTTAACCTGAGCATAATTTTTAAATTTTAATATTTTAACTTAATTTATTCTACTTAATTTATATATATATATATATATATATATATATAATAAATAAAGTTGGTGGGTTGGATTTTGATAACTTAAAAAAAAATTCTTTACTCTATCTCCATTCTCGATTTGAATGGAGATTTTTCAATCTATTTGATTAAATGGCTCGAGGCTCGATTCATACACGCGTACGTGGACCGACTGTTGGAAGTCATTATTATGAATTAGAATTTTCTTTTTTCCTTTGAAAAGTTTAATTTAGGTATATCGCACGTGTTAAAAATATAGAGCAGCACAACAAAATGTGGCTCCATAGAGAGGGCCTTCAATTAGAATTTTCATGACATGTTTGTGGCTACGCGAATGTCGAGGTCATGCTTGTCCAAGACGTGTTGTTCATGGTTGTATGCTCGTTTCAAACCCCTTTTACCTGCTTTCATGCTAGATAGATTTTTACTATTCATGTTTTGTCAATATGGAGGTTTATGATCAGTCAGTCACCAAAATTATGTCTACACCCACGAAAGCTAAAATATCTTAAAATGTACTAGAAGGGATGTGACTTGTTGTCAATTCTTCCTACTCGGTTATATACTATCAAAATTATGGTTGTTGCTTGTTCGCTTTTAGCTTATAACGTTGATTTCTTTCCAATTGTTTAGCCTAGAAAGATTAACGTATAACATTTAATATTAAAAACAAATTATAAAATTAGAAAGAAGTAAATAAAGATGAAATGTTAAGAGAAGATTATGAGATAGGAATGATGGCTTTGCAATAAGAAACCATTGTTTTGGGAGCCCATTTGTTCACTTTATTTGGCACAAAAGTTCAGCCACAACAGCAGCTCAGCTAACTTGGTGTCTGATTGATCCTTTGAAATGACTCAATCTTCAAGGAGACTTCTAGTTGAAGAATACTTTCGAGTCTCGTCCTTGTTTCGAGTAGACGAAGACGATGAGCCAACGTATATCCCGTCGAATGACATGCTTCTTGGCATCTGAACAATGGATTGTGACGATGCAGAAATGCTTGTTAGGCTGTCCCGTGACAGCTTCTCAAAGGCTTTCAACCTTGCATCACGCTCACTTGTGTTACGCTTCATGTTCCTTACTTCGACAGGGAGTTTACCTTCAAGCATACTAACCACGGAAGACATGGTTGGTCTAAGACTTGGAGACAGGTTTGTGCATAAGAGAGCTATATGAAGCATTCTCACGACCTCCTCTTTCGAGTAATCTGAGCCAAGATTTGGGTCCACGAGTTCTAATAAGTTCCCTTCCTCTTGTAGAACGAAAGCCTTCAAGCAAGTTGGAAAAAACAAACAAACAAACATCATTTTGTAAAGATTACTCTATTTGTGTGCATAAGACAATATAAGAATGTATTACCCAGTCAAGAAGAAAAACAAACTCCTCTTTTGGCATGCAACTCGTGTTACTTTTCCCGCTAACAATCTCTAAAGCCACGACACCAAAGCTATAAACATCAGCTTTATGAGTTAGATAACCCCTCGTTGCGTACTCAGGTGCCATGTATCCACTACAAGAGATTCAAAAGCTAGCTCATTGCAAAATGACTACGAGTTTGAGCTAAATTAACAGTAGAATGAGATAGAGAGAGAGAGAGAGACATTGTGCCTGCAATTCTTGTGATGATATGGGTGTTCTCCTCTTCATGAAGCTTAGCCAATCCAAAGTCAGAAATCTTAGCATTTAGGCTTTTATCAAGTAGCACGTTGGTGGCTTTTATATCTCTATGAACAACTTTCAGTAAAGATTCTTCATGAAGGTAAGCCAACCCCTTTGCTATTCCCAAGCAAATCTTCATTCTTATTGGCCAATCCAAATGGAGTGAGTGCTTCTCAGGGTCTTGAAATGAAAACCATAAGCTATTTGTGTTGAAATTGAAACGAGTTAGTAATGAGAGATATATGTAAGGCACTTACCAAATAAGGCACGAGCAAGATTATTGTTCTCTAGATACTCGTATATAAGCATTAATTGGCTTCCTTCAATACAACAACCGTAGAGCTTTACGAGATTCGGATGTTGTAGCGCTGATATCATGCCGATTTCAGTGATGAATTCACGGTTCCCTTGCTTTGATTTAGAGGATAGCTGCTTTACAGCAATTGAAGTGCCATCCGACAGAACTCCCTACCGAATAGTTTATGTTGAGTTACGAGATTCTTTTGAAGAACATGTTGAAAGAAGGATCTGTTGGGTTATGGAGCCTGCTCCTTGTTTATAGCTCACTCAATGGTTATACGTAGTAAAGCTATATATGGTAGATAGTTATATTTGGTAAAGCTATGTGTAGTAAACTGAACCATATATATACTCCTTAATCAGTGTTTTGAAAATGTACTTTCTGTATTTTCTACTTTGAGTTATCCATAATAAATCTCTAGCCAATATTCTTCCTTGCAATTTCTCTCTTGTTTTTCGTGTTCATCGAGAGTGTGCGTTGTTGTGCGATACTAATAGGATCTTATATCGAACAACGATGAACATAGAGAGAAGAAGATGGAGTTTCCAGAGATATACCTTGTAGACAGGACCAAAGCCTCCCTCGCCTATCTTATGTGTCGAGTCGAAGTTGTTGGTGGCTGCTTTGATTTGTCTTAAACTGAAATAACCTGTCTGTAATTTTAGATCCCGAAGTTCTGTAAAAAAGAAAGGAATGCAACTTTTTTTAGTCAAATAAAGGAGCTAATTAGACATAAAACTCCTGAAAAGAACATAAGAGTTGACAAATTATATTATGTTTTATGCGGTTGAACCATGTTAGTTGACATCTCTTTCATTTTCTTATTTCTTCTTTTTCCTCCTACTTTGGAAACTTTTTTGGCCTTACCATCTCTCTCCTCCCCTGCCAACAGTCGTTTACGCTACACCTGGAATGAAAGGGGAGATGTGAGGTCCCACGTCATTTAGAGGGGGTACGAAACATTCTTTATAAGGGTGTTGTGGAAACCTCTCTCTAGTAGACGCGTTCTAAAAACCTTGAGGGAAAACCCAAAGAGGACAATATTTGCTAGCGGTGGACTTGAACTGCTACAAGAGAGCTCCTCTCATTTTGGATGTGGAAGTCAAATGGCGGTCGAGGTAAGAACGAGCAGTGACGGAGGCAACAATGGGTACCGGGTAACAAGCGTTGAAGAGGGAGAAGAGGAACCAGGCTTTGATGAAGGTTGCCAAAGGGAAGGAAAAATTAAGGTAATTTGCCAAGTTAGCTGGCTCAATGAACAAATAACTCGGAACTAAATAGACACCAAATTCAAATTTAAATCACTGGAAGCATATATTGTCCTCTAAAATTAACTACGTATAGTACTCTTGTAATCTTACCATCGTCTTCCGCTTCCTTTCGACCTAAGTAACCCTTCCATCGAAGAACAGCCAATACAAAAACAACGAACAAGAAAATACCGATAACAATGCCAGCAATAGCTCCAGCTGATAGCCCTCTAGTTTCATTTTCCACATTAGTACCCACATCAAAGTCTACAATAGAAGATCAATCGTTGAAGATAAATTTTGAGTGATTATCGTAAAATGAAAGAAGATATTTACTTGGTGTCACAGTGATTGCAGATATTAGAGGTCCATACACCCCTATCACTGGAATGGAATCTGTTCCTTTACCAGCCCAATATAAGTGGATCTCAAGAGTGCTTCCATTCACTACAATATTAGGCTCTTCCAAGATAAAGCTCTTACCAACACCTCCAGCATTCTCCATTATGTTAAAATCTTTTCTAATCAAGTTTCCCTGTGAACCCAATTAGTAAATAGTAATTATTATTTATCTATAGATGGTTTAGAATGTGACCAAAAGCTCACAACAGCTAAACGAGGAAGATATCATCAATAGATGGATAATGTAACACCGCTAGCAGATATTGTCTTCTTTGGGTTTTCCCGTTTGGGCTTCCTCTCAAGGTTTTTAAAACGAGTTGGTTAGGAGAAGTTTTCACACCCTTATAAAGAATGTTTCGTTCCCCTCTCCAAGTGATGTGGGATCTCACAATCCACCCCCCTTCGAGGCCCAATGTCCTTGCTGGCATACTGCCTTGTGTTCGGGGCTCAGCCTCCTCGTTGGCACATCGCCCAGTGGTCTGGCTCTAATACCATTTGTAACAACCAAAGCCCACCACTAGCAAATATTGTCCTCTTTGGGCTTTTCCTTTCGAGCTTACCCTCAAGGTTTTTAAAACGCGTCGGCTAGGGAGAAGTTTCCACACCCTTATAAAG